TATGCATATGATGCACGTGATGTATCATGAACCACATTCTACTAAGTCATGGGTACTAAACCCATCGATTCTATACCATTGAGTTCATATAAGGAATTCAAGACTCGTCTAATAGAGTTAATCCATTTTATATATCATGAATCACATTCCATATTTCATAGGCACCAAACTATTTATGTCCATACCATTTTAGAAATTCAATCCACACTTGGGTCTTCATCAATATTTTCATGGTATGATCCAACTTGACCATTTTAGTATCAAGGCCCACTAACTTTTCTTAGGATATCCAAGTCCATTTATTTCATCCAAACTCTTTTTTTTTTTTAGTCCAAGCCCATTTATTTTAATCCAAATCCAAGTTCATTTATTTAAATTTAATTCCATTTTATTTTAATCCAAGACCACTCTATTTTAGTCCAAGCCTATTTATTTTTATTCTAACTCAAGTCCATTGATTGTAATCCAAACCCCTTTTTATTTAGTCCAAGCCAACTTTGTTTTAGACCAAGTCTATGTGTTTTATTCAAAGTCCACTTTATTTTAAATCCAAGCCCAATCATACATATCTTCCAAACCCATATGGTTATATTAGGATAGCTTAGGTGTCTAACTGAATACTTAGGCTAACTAAACACCTTAACTAATCAAGTTTAAGTACCTAAACTCATTTCTTTTCATTAAATTTCTAAAATCCCTCTCCCTAAACTCGAAAATTTTCAAAAGTGGTATATCCAAATGATCCGTACCAATTCGGCCATAACTCTTTATATATAGATCTAAAAATCATAAACGTTTTCAAAGAGTTAGTATACAAATAGATGAACAACTTTTATCCTTTGATTTTTACCCAAAAAGTACTCTCGGATACCTAAATAAATCATACAAATTTCGGAACTAAAAACTTTCCAGCATGTGATACATCCAAATGATCCGTACCAAATCGGCTATAACTATTTATATATAGATCTAAAAATCATAAAATGTTACAGAGAGCTATTAGACACATTGATGAACAGCTTTTATTTTTTAAGTTTTACCCAAAAATTACTCTAAGAGCCCTAAATAAATCATACAAAGTTCAGAATTTTCCACCCCTAAAATTCAAAAAATTCTCTTTAAAATTTTTTTTTAAAAAAAACACATTTCTCATTACATATAATTATCACCAAACCAATCCATCAAACATGTATAAACATCCATCATCATACATATATATGGCATACCTACACATTCTAACCTAAAGTTTACCATGAAATACACACATCCAACATTCAAAATAAGTCCATCGTCGAAATATCATAAATCCATCACCAAATATCAAATTTTTAACATCAACACAAACTATCATAACCATATATTACATGGATTAAAACAAAAACCCATAAATTAAATATATAAAAGAGAACTTAAAGCATAAATAAAACTAAAATGAAACCAAAAGAAACCTACTTACAATGATGAGTGTTTAGTTAAGATTTCTTAGCCTCTTTTTCTTCTCTTTCTCCTTCCTTTCTTTCATTTCGTTTTCTCCTTTCCTTTTCTCCTTTCTTTCCCTCAAACTCACATTTTTCTCTCCTCTTTTTGAAGGGCATGAATTTTTTGCTAGAAAGAATGGCAATGTTTCATCTTTTCATCCAATTTTAATACTACACTTTTTCTTTTTATTTCTTTTATGTTTAATATGCCAAGTGTCTAATTTTTGTCATAAGAGAGGTCAATTGATGGAGGCAAAAAGAAAGGCAAGTTGGAGTGTTTGACCTTCCAAAATTAAGTGAGAAAGTATAATGGAAGTATTGTGGAAGATTTTAGGTCAAATCACTAATTAAAGAGAGAAACTAAAAGATAATTAAATTAACCAACTTCCTAACCTTATTTGGTCTATAAAATTTGATCATGACTCTTAAGTGGGATATATTTTTCACTTGCATGGTCATTTTAAATATACATTATGAAAAAATAATTAATGGTTAATTAAATTCCAAAGAAAGTATTCCTATGAACAATTCCATAAACCTTAAAATTTTCACACCACAAATATAAAAGAAATGGAACATAATTTATGCTCACATAATCATGGATATTTCAAGAGATATTTGGGCTCAAGAATTAAATTTCAGTATGCCAAAATTAATTTTTAATTTTTTTTAAACCCACGCATCTTAAACTCACCAAACACAAACATGACACAAAATCATAATTACGACTTAGTAGATATAGATAAAAATTATTTTCGTACATATAGCTATGTTAAGCAATTTCATGGGAGTTACAATGAGTTCCTTGTCATGCCATTTAGGTTGACCAACGCCCCGACCATGTTTTAACCGCCGATGAATTTGATTTTTAAAAGTATTATTCGGAGGCATGCGTTAGTGTTTTTTGATGATATCTTAGTCTATAGTGCTTCTTTGTCCGACCATGTAGTGCACCCGAGAGAAGTACTAACGATTTTATGAGGGCACCGGTTATTTGTCAACCTAAAGAAATGTTGTTTTACTCGGGGTCAACTAAAGTACCTTAGCCATATTATTTTGGGGGAAAGACTTAGAGCGGATCCCGAAAAGGTTCGATTTATGGATGAATGGCCCATCTCGAAAAACCTAAAAGAGCTCTATGATTTCCTAGGCCTCGTAGGGTACTTATTAGAGGTTTGTTCGTGATTATGGAAAAATTAAGACCCCTCTTACTTAGCTCTTAAAGAAGGACTATTTTGCTTGGGGAAAGGAGGCAACAAGGGCAATACAATAGTTGAAAAACACCATGAAATCGGTTCCTACTTTAGCATTGCCTAACTTTGGTAAGAGCTTCTTTGTTGAAACGGATGCTTCGGGGATAGGTGTGAGGGCGGTTCTATCGCAACAAGGGAGGCCAATTGAGTTTTTCAACTAAGCTTTGACTAAGAGAGCTTGCCTCAAGTCTATTTATGAATGAGAGTTAATGGCCATTGTGATTGCTATTCAAAAATGGTGTCATTATTTGTTTGGGAGACATTTCCTTGTCCGAATTGACCAGCGAAGTCTTCGATACTTACTTGAGCGAGAGATTGGTTTCACTTGTGCATAAAAAATGGGTCACCAAGCTCCCGGGATATGACTTTGAGATTCAATATAAATCGAGCTGAGAAAACCAAACTGTAGATACCACTTTCTAGGGTACATTCCATAGCAAAAAATCACTCCATTTCGGTTTCTACGCTATTGGATCGGGTTATAATTGCATCTAAAGTTAGCCAAGACCAACGGTTATAGAAGGTGATTACCGAACTAAAAGCAAATCTGGATTTCAAATCCGAATGGACTCTTCACTATGGGTAGTACGTTACAAGAGACGATTAGTAATCCCTACCAACTCTTCTCTTAAGTTTAAGCTCCTAACCGAGTTTCACGAGCAGTCCCATCGGTGGTCATGGTAGATTCTTAAAGACCTACAAGCCGATTTCTCATGAATTATATTGGGAGGGTCCGAAAACGGATGTAAAGAACTTTGTTGCTTCTTGCTAAGTATGTCGGCAGAACAAATATAAGACATTGTTTTCTACCAGATTACTCCAGTCGCTTCGGTGCCACATGCCATTTGGGAAGACATTCCGATGAACTTCGTGGAAGGATTACCCAAATCCCATGGGTTTGACTCTATTTTAGTGGTAGTGGATCGATTGAGCAAATACAATCATTTCATTCCCTTGAAGCATCCTTACACGACTCAAAAAGTGGTAGAGGAATTATTGTCCAATGTGGCCAAGTTGCATAGTTTTCTCGATCTATTATCCAATGGAGTTGTTTCGTTTGCAACACACCTTTTCAAACCAAAGTATTACTTACCACCCACAAAGTGATGATCAAAGTGAAGTGGTTAACGAGTGCTTGCGAGCTTATCTTCATTACTATGTAAGTTCTCAACCAAAAGTGTAGCATAAATGATCTGTCATAGGTCGAGTATTGGTTCGACTCCTTCTATCATACATCTACCAAATCCACTCTTTTTAAGCTAGTCTACGATAGAGATCCTCCCATTTTGCTTAGGTATGATTCTACTCGCTCATACTCCTAACTCAAGTCTTAAAGACATGTTGCTTGAAAGGGATATTATGATAACTGAATTATGAGATTAATTGTTTCTAGCTCAAAATTCTATGAAAAAAAGGGCTGATCGAGCATCGTCGTGAGGTTGAATTTCGGATTGGTGATCAAGTCTACTTGAAACTCGGGCCCTATAGGCTACAATCTCTTGCTCGAAAGATGAACAAGAAGTTTTCTCCTCATTTCTTTAAGCTTTACCAAGTTTTACGGCGAATTGGTAAGGTCACTTATGAGCTTAAACTTCCTAATTCCACCTCTATACACCCTATGTTTCATGTTTCACAACTCAAACGTGTTGTTGGGGATGCTATTACTACACAACCTCTTCCTTTTATTTAGAATGACCAAATGCGATGGGTTATAGAGCCCGAGTCGGTGTTTAATACCAAAAAAGGAAATGAGGGATCGAAAGTACTTATCGAGTCGAAACACCTTCCCGACTTTGACGCAACTTGAGAACCTTATGAGTCGATCATGAAGCAATTTTTGAAATTCCACCTTGAGGACAAGGTGTCTTTCCATAGGGAAATATTGATAAACCTCTAGTGCGTATGATCTACAATAGAAGAGGAAAGAGAGGCCCAACCACCACCAAATAAAGGAAGTTTGTTATACTAGTCGCTAATGACGAATATCTTGGATTGATGACCCGGCTTGAGTTTGTTACATATAGGTATCTAAGATATATATAAAGAACAACGTAGAGTGTAAAGGCATGATAAGTTTGTTATGAAAAATATTCTCTATTAAGAGTGGGAGAAGGGTAGCCTTTAAAATTGCTACCATTGTCTTTATTATAGTAATCGAGATTTTATCGACTATATTACATCAATAAGAATCACCCTTCTTCATCTTTCTTGTTTTCTACCTATTACTACTATTTTCTCTTTATTTTGTTTCTGTTTTGTCGGTGGGGTTCTATCGGACATCAAGTTCGGTTTTGAATATGGGAAAAACACCTTCTCCGATGACCTTGGGGTAACTTTTACAACTCGGCTCCCCTATGGGGCCCTCACTGCAATCTTCATAAGCAACTCAAAAGGATGTTGAGGTGGTACAGGTATCATCATCGAAATTTCACCACCACCCACAACAACTACAACGTAAATGTAGGAACTCACATTAACTCTACCTTTACTACCCGAACATAAGGTATGTAAATTTTTCGAGAGGTCCATTATTCTTGATTTGAGAAAATTTGAACTAGGCCTCTTTAATTTGATGTTTCTTGGCGCCTTGTTTGGTTATAAATGTTTTTTTACAAGTTACTCACATTTAAGTTGTTTGAATTACATTCCACGGAATATAATCTACCTCATCCGTTTCTTTTCCCCTCGAAGGCATATGGAGTTCCTATGTATGCTTATCATACTAGTAGAGGAGGATGTTGAAGAGGAAGAGGAAATGAGGTATGTGTTGTTTGCCTTACATTTCGTATTGGCATATTAACCTTATTTTTTTTTTAATCATTATTAGGAAATTTGACTTTGATGTCTGTGTAACATGGCCAATGCAAAATAAGAACCTTACATTGTCGATTAGTTGTTCCTTGTAAAGAACATCATATGGAAAGTTTCCGAAAGAATCCTACTTTAGTCTTGCATGCACTCATTTATTTTTCTTCCTTTCCTTTGTTATTTGTTATTATTAGTTATAGTAGCTTTTGCTTTCTTAAAAGCATTTATATAGTTCTTGGTACAAAATGGTCTTAGTTTTTTTGCTTAATTTCTTCCTTTTCTTTCTCAATGCTAGTTCATTGCTAACACCGGAAAAGTAATTTGTGGCATTGCTTTTTGTTATGGGTTCTTTCATGTCCGCCTCAATTAAGAAGACTTTGGAATAAAAGAGTTATGGAATGGTTGTGTAGTAGTTTGTAAGGCAATTTAACTACCGGACTCGTTTCCTATAAGTTCAATTAACTATTAAATACACTATAATCTTTACTTGAATGATGTTTGTAATCTGTCTAAACAAGGTGGGAGACAAGTTGCAAGGTAAATTATTAACAATTTTGATCACTTCAATTCAATAATCTCTACTTTCCACTATTAATTACAATTAGATTGTATAGACTAGGACTCTTCCTCCCAACATGATGTCCACACGGGAATTTAGTGCTTGAGGAATGATTAATAGCTTACGGACATGAATTTGAGTACGAGATTGAGCACAGAGAGAGACCAAGTCACCAATTTGCTTATAAATTATTTGCGTATAATTTATTGACTTACAAACTAACGTACTCGCTGAGCCTAATAAGTTTCGAGTGTGTCGAAAGTTAAGAGAAAAACTCTAAAAGCTGCTTACTACTTGCAGGTGTTGTTGTATGTTGAGTCTTTTGTTGTTTTTTATGTATTCTCCTATGTTGTAGCTTGTATTTATAGTCTTTTGGTTCCTCTATGATCCCTTGTAATGTTGCACGTTCCTTTGCAACTATTAATTTTGTCATTTAATGCTTTATGTTAGTCATTCCTGCTATTATCATGCTCCATGAGTGCCCACTCTCTTCTTAGTTAGAAAAATCAATTCATATACTGATCTCTTATAATTGTTTTTCTTATTACGAGAGTTTTATCAATTGACAGTGCTTATTTATTTAAACAAATTTGTTGGACCTTTCGGCTTAACCAAATTTTGGTTATAACACTTTTTTAAACCAAAATAGTTGTAGCCAATATTCTTAGAGGTGATAATATTAGTGGACTTTGAGTGATAACAAGTCAAGCTTTGGGATTTCAAATTTCTAGTTTTGCAACTAGATTTAAGGAGGATTGCGATTTTACAACAATGAATGAGAAATTCAACAATGACAAAGTATGAGGTCACCTTGGTAAGAGTCAATAAGCTCAAGACAGGGATGATTTGCTAGATGAAGATGATGTTGGATCATCAAAACTTAGACCAAGGTAAATTCTCTCTCACACATATAAAACTGAAGAAATTGAAAGGATTTGCCATTTATAGTCTATTGTTCTTTTGTTTACACATGTAAAACTTTACGAACTACTCGAAATGATGAATTATTTGTTTCCAATTATTGCCATGATCAAAACTCGTTTGGGGACCTAGTATCATTGTTGTTGAATTTCTCTTGATTTGTATTTGCAAGCATTTGGTGATTTCTCTCAACATTGAGGCGATCGAGGAGGTCGATCAAACGAGTGGTTATCATGGAAGAGGCTACGGCTAAGGTAGTCATAGTTGAGGTTATGGCATGTCAAATGAGGCCTTCTAATTATCACTTGAGTTCTAATGTAATATTTAGTTCTTGTTAAAGTCATTCCACATTAATCATCACTTTATAGTGTAATAATTGGTTTGGTGCTTGGAGAATGGAGTTTGCAATGCAATAACTATGTTTAATATCACTTAATGGTAATGCCAGGCTAAATTGGAGATATCTATAAATGATTGTGTACTGTTTCTCGGGTTGCTCGCTTGGGAATTATGATGAAAATATAAACAAAAGAACCCAAATCGGAGAAGGGATTTTCGGTGTCTTGAGCTCTTTTGTTTTTTTTTCTTCTACTTTCCTTTTTGAGGAGACATGAAACAATTAACCGAAGATGCACCCATAGCTTACATTCACAAAAATAGACAACCCCAAACTTCGGTATATTGACACCACAAAGAGTACCATCATTATACAACATTTTGGAAACCACAAGCACGAGTAGGAAAATAATATTTTTTGCTCTTAGAATAGAGGAAACAAAAAAATGCATAATAGACATGAAACAATCAACTAAAGATGCATCTATAGCTTACATTCACAAAAACGAGACAACCCCAAACTTCGCTATATTGACGCCATAAGGAGTGCCATCATTATACAATATTTTGGAAACCACAAGCACAACAGGAAAATAATAATTTGTGCTTTTAGAATAGAGGATACAAAAAAAATGCATGATATAAACTTAGAAACTTCAATTTATTTATATTATGTAAATTTAGATGCATGATATATCTCTAAATACTCAATTAATACCATACCTACTTTTGTTTTCCCCTTTCTTTATTAATTAAAGACTAACATTACATTAGTAAACACCTCCACTAGTACCACTACTATTATTATTTTTTTAATTAATACTAGTAATTATATTTATTACTATCACTTTCTTTGCTTATCCTCCACTAGTACCACTACTATTATATTTTTTTTATTAATACCGTACAAATCTTAGACGTTGTCATCTCTTGTAACTTTATATACTTTAAGACGAGGTCAATTATTCTCGTTCCACATTTGGGGAATTGGAAATTGAGTTGGAGTGATGGCTTTTTTTCCTTACTAAAAAGTGACTAGCTTGTTAATATTTCTAATTTTGTACTCTTGCTTATATATTAGAATAAACACACCAATTGTTACTACTTACTATTCATGTATTATATATATATGTTAGTTGAAAGTAGAAATAACATAGGTATGATTTTGTTTTATTATTTATTCTTCTTCTTCTTTTTTTTTTTTTTTTTTGTTTGGTAAATATTGGATGAATATATAGAGTAAAATAGGTATGATTTGGCACACATATTTGTTATGTACAATATAGCATGAGAGTAAGTTTCGTATTCTGAACATGATGAGACAAATAAAAATTTAATCTCGGTGAAAATCCTTAATCGTAAAGCGACGCATATTAGAATATTTATATCTATACATATATTAAGTGTAAGTATAATTCTCATTACACCATGAGAAATTAATGCTTTAAATGTATGATTTATGTTAAATTAAAGTTATTGTGCTTGAGATTAATAGTTTAATTATTAAAGAAACCAAATATGCAAAATCGGTGTTACGAGGACTATATTACGTCCGAATTTTTTGTGATTTCTTTGAGGCCTTTAGAGTGATTTTTGGGTAAACCTTAAAGCATTAAAATTGTTTATATATGTGTCTACTATCTCTTTGTAAAATTTCATGATTTTTAGATCTCTACATAACGAGTTATGACCATTTTAGTATAGGTTGGTCTTGAAGCATCACTGCTGGAATATTTTTGGGGAAAGAAAATTTCGAGTTTAAGGAGAGGAATTTCTGAAATTTAATAAAAAGAAATATGTTTAGTTACTTGAACTAGATTGGTTAGGATTTTTAGTTACTCTAACCAATTAATTAGGACACCTAAACCCCCTAATTAATGAATTAAAGCCGACTCACTCTAAACCTTTCAAACCCGCCACCCTTTCTCTCATGACTCACCAATAACTTTTCACTCTTTCAAATAAAATTAAGACATTTGTACACTTAATTGATGATGAGATTTTAAGCATGTATGTATATATATATATATATATATATATATATATATATATATATATATGAATAAGTGAGAATGGAAGAAAAATTTTAGGCAACCCATAGCTACACAAATAAGAGAGAAAAACGAGCAAGGAAGGAGAGGAATAGAAATGAAAGAAAAAAAGAAAGGGAAAGGAGAAAAAGAAAGCAAAGCCAAGGAAATTCTAACCATACCTAAACTAGGTAAGTAGGTTACCTTTTTCTTGCTTATACTATTTATTTCATCTTTATGCAATTGACTAAATTTGTGTTTAGGTGGTGATATGTTATTGTGATTGGTTATGTTGAGTTATTTAGCTTGCAATTCTTATTGGTATGGTTGGTTTTATTGATTGGTTGTGTTGGTTGCTTCTTAAAACTTAAAAAGCCTTGTATATGATTCAATTCATTTTTGGGGGGATGTGAATGATGGAGTTGGGTCGACCAAAACATGGTAGGTGAATTTGGGACATGTATAGACTTGAATAAAATGACAAAGAAGGAAGGAAAAATGAAATTTTAGGGTTCTTCTTGAGTAAAATTTTGATCCGGAGAGTTAAATGGTCTCCATATGGGTGTGTCCTTACCCGTGTAATGAAGAAATATATTTTTCTTGAAGTCGAGAGTTACACGGTCTCCCACACGGGTGTGTCTTTACCCGTGTAATGAAGAAATGTATTTTTTGAAGTCGAAGGTTACACGGCCTCCCACACTCGGCGTGTCCTTGCTCGTATAATGAAGAAAGATGTTTTTCTTTAGTCATATGGTTACACGACCTCCCACATGGGTGTGTCTTTGCTCGTGTAATTCACTTGGTCACTCGAAATGCATCAATTTTACTTCATACTTACTTGGTTTCCATTCCTTTCACCAAGATAATATAATTAATGGTCAATAGGGCCCAAATAGATATAAAATGAAAGTACAAAAGTATACCTTAATATGAGGGGAAAATGAGTTCAAATGCTAATAATTATACAATTTAAGAGTGGAACAATTTAATGATTAGAATTACGATAGGAAACAAAAAGAAAAGTATCCACATACATAATTAAACCCATGACTCAACCAATACCATTTGTCAGTATTTCATTCTAATGAAGGGAATTTGATGATAAGGGGTATGAGTATGCTCGAAACCTGTGTGGGTTGGACATATGAAAATATTTCATGATGATAAGGGGTATGAGTATGCCCGAAACTCCGTATGGGTTGGACCTATGAAACTATTTCATGATGATAAAGGGTATAAGTATGCCCGAAACTCGTGTGGATTAGACCTATGAAAATATATGAAGTTAAATCCTGTATGGGTTTGATAAGTTTAATATGGTACACATAACATCACGTGCATTGTAACCCTTGTAAAACCCCTTATCCGTAACGCGACGTGTATTAGAATAATTCTATATATATGTATATTAAGAGTAAGTGTAATTATCATTTTATCATGAGAAATTAATGCTTGAAATATGTGATTTATGTTAAATTAAAGTTATTGTGCTTAAGATTAATGGTTTAATTATTAAAGAACTTAAATATGCAAAATCGGTGTTTTAAGGACTATATTCTGCCCGCGTTTTGTGTGAATTATTTGAGGCCTTTAGAGTAATTTTTGGATCAACCTTAAAGAATGAAAGTTGTTCATCTATGTGTGTAATAGGCCTGTATAAAAGTTTATAATATTTGGACCTATACATTAAGAGTTATACCAATTATAGTAAGGGTTGTTTCGAAATGCATTCTGCTGGAATTTTGGGAGAAGAATCTTCCCGAATCTTGTGAGATTTATTTGATGCTCGTTAAATTATTTTTGAGAAAAAAGTAAAGAATAAAAGTTATTTTTCTATGTGTGTACTAGCTCTCTATAAAATTTCATAAATTTTGGATACATATAGAAAGAGTTATGCACATTTTAGTATAGATGGGTTAGGAGGAAACACTCGCTGGAATTTTGAGGGGAAAAGAAATTCTGAATTTTTAAAAATGGAAATTTTCGAATTTTTATGAAAGAAAGCAGTTTTAGTTACTTGAATTAAGTTAATTGATGATTTTAATTAGTCTAAATTTTATATAGACACCTAAGCAAATGCAATAAATGAATTTAATGCCAACTCACCCATTATGGATTCCAAAGTAGCCATCTTTCCTCATGACTCACCCATAACCTTTACACCTTATCCCATTAATTTCTAACACTTGTAGCTGAATGAAAGTAAGTATATATATATATATAGAAAGTGTTAAAATAGGAGAAAAACTTTAGTAAACCGTAGGTACCGTAAATTGAGAGAGAAAAGGCAAGAAAGAAAAGAGAGGAAGAAAAACATGAGGAGAGAAAGGAAAGGAAAGAAAAAGGGGACGGGAAAAAGGAAAGAAAAAGAGCTAAGAAAACTATAATCAAACCTAAAAGAGGTAAGTAGGTTTCATTTTTTTGGCTGATTAATGTCTTAAATTATTTTTTTTAAAGTTATTTTGTTAGTGTTTATTTCATGGGTTGTAATAATTTTCAATGGTCATATGCTTGATGCTTGGAATAAATCTATGTATGGATGCCTTGTTGTGATGATTTATTATGTTATGATTTTTTGAAAAATGTCCAAGTATGTGGTGATGGGTTGGATTGAACTTGGACTAAATTTAAGTGAACTAAAACATGTTTAAAATTGGCTTGGAATGAACTAATAAATTAGTGTTAATAAGGAGTAAACTTTGTCCGAATTTTGGGGTGTCTATTCAAGGATTTTAAATCGATTTCTAGGTGAAACTTAAAGCATTACAGTTTTTCATTTATGTTTCAACTAACTTTCTTTAAAATTTCTTGGTCATTGGATTAGTGTACAAAGAGTTACACCCGATTTAGTATGGATAGCTCTAGATAAACTACTATTAGGCGGATTGCTCCCTAA